TACTATAGCAGCCATATTTATGTCAGCGGGGGGTATGCACTGCGTCGGGGTGGCGCTGAGTAAACAGCACCTTGGACGCTTCGTTGGTCGCTGGGAAGATCTGGGACGTCAGGGTAGTTATTTTCTCTTCTAGTGCTGAAAGCGCTTCCTCAAGGGTCGTTATCTCCGAGACAGAACCGATATTATGTTTGGATTTTTTATCACACTCAATCGCACGTTTCTTCACTCGTCAGCTGTGACCCGGCCGTTTGATTTTCTGTTACTGTATGGCTCGGAGAAAAGATTTGAGGTTGGAACTTTACTACTGCGACCCAATTTTGTAACAGACAGCTGCACTATTTCTGTGACTTCTGATGCGTTACGGTATGATATGAGCGTGAGCATGACGCCCTCTTATCCGGTACCATCCACTCGAATTAAGTGTTTCATTTTGATTCCAGGTTGTTCAAAAGTCTTGAAATTAATGAATAGGTAGTGGATCCTAAAATTTTGGGTTCTTTTTGCTACTTTTCCTTCTATGTGACGTTCATTTTCTCTATTCATCAACATCACTTTGTTCACTGCCATTTCGGTTGATCACAGTCACTTTGCTCCATTATTGTTCTTGCTGTTCTCTGTCCCCTTCCCTATTCAGCCAGTTCTATTTTTCGCCCGTATCAGTTTCGACTGTCAGAAGTGGATGGATTCCGATATCGTGCGATGGTGAGACCACATTGCGTTATTTGATGAATTCGATCCGTGGCGGGTACACGTAGTGAAAACTTGTATAACTGCGCATATTTTGTGTTTTGTGCGTTTAAGACGAGTTTCTTTTGTGTGTGGAGGGAGTTTAACTCTGACCCCCAGTGGTCAGTTGCCTCTCATTCACAACCAGAAACTTGGTAACCTGTGAAAATCCGAGGAAAATAAAAATTGATATTTGGTGTGGATGCTCGCATCTGTGGGGAGAGGTGTGCATATTTATTAGCCCTGCATAATACCTCCAGGGTGGAGACCTAGGGATCACTTTAATCGATGCTTAGAGACTCTGAGCAATATGATTGCGTATCGTTAACAGTGGCATACGTGCATCTACTCATCGTTTTTGCAACCCTAGTCTACGGGAATTCTCTGCTTTTACCTTCAACATTACTATCTTCCTTCTACTCTTTCCCGTATTATAGAAGTCACAGATTCATTCATACTAGTTTCAGTGCTTGTTTAGAATTCAGTCGATTTATCGTTAATTCATAGGACCCTACCGTAGTAAAGCGCCTTTTAAACAGTTCTATGTATGTCAGAGAAAACGCAATGGATCAACATGTGGAAACACTTAGCGGTGGAAAATCGCTGACGTTCAGTGAAAATCTTATTAATGTTTTGCATCGTTACTGCCGACTGCTGCGAGTGACCATCCTCCGTTTGGACTATCTTCCATGGTTCCTGCTTTCCATCAGTTGATTCTAATCCACCCTTGTCGTTGATGGCCGACCATTTTGTTACTTTACCAGCATCAGCTGATGCTTTTTTGTGTGAATGTATGCTGGTCAAATTACTTTCAATGTGTATTCTCTTTCAATTTCAAATTCTTGCTCCCTTTGCCGTATGCTGAGGTTGCTTGTATTACAGAAAAACCACAGATAAAGTTCTGAGAGGCTTCCATTATACTCTGGTGTTGCTGCTGACTTCAGAACGCACCATAGTACCGTAGGTACAAGTGGTGTATTAAAAATCATCATCGAAGAGCACGCACCGCTCAAAGTTGACTATCAGTTTTGTAAGCGGAACCGTTTGACTGAACAATACCGCCGCCATATCTGCGACAAAGTAAGAGTGAGTTTGGTTGTGTTAAGTAAGGTTCGCTTCACCGTATTTCGTCGCACAGATGATTCTGAGTGATCTAATTCAGAACTCCATCGCACCGGCGAAGTACCTGAGTGGGCTTGATGACTGAAGTTTGTACATGCGTTCCATTTGCAACCCAACTTTATTCATAGCTATATATGATATCTCACGAATAAAAACTGACTACAAAGCTAATATGTTTCTTTATTTTGTTCCTGTTTCCCTCCCGCGTTTACTGATCACAGGATGTTGTTCGACACTTGACACGAAAGGTAATCCGTGAGGCACGTCTAAAAGAGATCAAACTAGAGCTGTTAAATTCCGAACGACTGAAGGGATATTTTGAAGACCACGTTCCGGATCTGGAAGCACTTCGTCATGACAAACCACTTGCGCGCCAAAGTCAGCCGCACCTGAAGGACGTTCCGGACTATTTGGGTTAGTTCGTCCGTGTTAAATGTGTGCTGAGTGTCATGCACCAGTTCTGTCGTGTCCTCTGCAGTACCACCGAGATTGTGAACTGAAACAACTAGACGATTAATACGAAATCACAGGTTGCATATTTGCTCGAATGCTCGCCTTAATTTTGGACACAATTTTATTAAAATATCGTGACCATGTGCATCTCAATGGCCAGCGTCCTCGAATTCCATCTGTTGCACTTGGAATTGGAGTTATTTGTGTGATAGGAGTGTAACTCCTTCCTATTTGATTTCAGTTCCCGCACCTTTGCGCGCTTTAATGCCTCAAACAAGCGGTGGTCGAAGACGACGTAACCGGTGGCGACGAGAGAATCTCGATTTGGGCGATATTGATACGGAGAAGGCATCTGGCAAAGAACAATCCGTTCCCGGCAAGAAGGCTTCGAAAACCGGCCCACTTCATACTTTACAGGCGAAGCACAAGATCGCGAAAAGGGTGAGCAAAGGGTATCGTTCTATCGATTGGGTTATCTTTTTACCATGAAAATAGTGCCTCTGCGGTTGTAACAACATGGGTTAGGCATGTATAAATACAAAAACGAAGGGGTTTATTAAGGCGAGAATGTGCGCGACAACTAGTGGATTGATCCTGCTTTCGAGGTGAGAAAGATTGTAGAACTACGGAAGAGTCGAAATTCATTAGGTCAGAATAAGGAACGCATTTAGAGGGAAATAGGAAGAAACACAGAAACATGTATGCGGAGATGCGTCCTAAATTGGAGGTATGAAGTGCTCTAAGGACATTGCCGTTGTCTCGATGTCGATAAGAGAGTAACACTGAAGGGCACCACAATCGGTAAAACAATGAATGTCATTGGATGCTTTGGACGAAAAATCGTTGACAAATAGAAATGAGAGGAGAAAGAAAACGAGCACCAGCATATATAGGTAACGGCAGAACTGGAACAACATCAACTCGGATGGAATCCTAAGGTGGATCATTTCGATCCCAGACCTTCTTGTAAAACTGGGACCCTTGAGATATCGAACTAAGGTTTCTCCCTGGTTTTCAAATACAATGGATNAGAAATGTGAGACAAGCGCCCATTGGTTACCCCTAAAACGACGAAGACCGGGTCCCAATTAACTGTCACTCAGGTCACCGCGTTTGAATACCGAACACACTTAGTTGAAGATATTGGTATAGGATGTACTATGTCGGTTTGAACTGAGATAACAAGTGATCTGTGCAAACGACCAGCCGATCATTCAAACGCATCACATTCTGTTTACCAATCTGTAAAAAATGATATGGCATTACGCCGCCTGTTCCTTCACATCCGATTACAGGAGATTCAAAGATTTTGTAAACCTTCAGTATGTATGCTTCTGCTTGGTATTTAATTAATGAATTACCTTTTGATAACTGGTAATTTTTCAAAGCGTTGCCCAGATTCGATGGAAATGTTTGTGATAACCCTACGGGTGCATAAAGCTTACTTGGACTTGACTTGAACCGACAAAGAGCACTGGACAGCTGTTTCGTCCTGTTTAGGACTCGTCAGCAGTGCGTAATTATTGTGTCTCTGTCATTACATCGTGGGGAATTAACGATCTCCCAAGGAGTGAAACCCACACTCAGAACCATCGAGGTTGCCTGTNNNTTGCCTCTCAATAAATGAATGGGCTAATCCAAGCTTGATACTTCACTCAGATTCCCCAATTTCCGGTAGTTTTCCCTGCAAAGTTAACGGATTGCTAAATATCATCTGCTCATGAGTTTGGACGATCTATTACAGTCTCTTGGAAAATGTATTGTTCACGTATCGATAGGTGAAGAAGTTGTTTTCTTCAATAATTGACCAAATCAGTGAGATAATCCGGTATTTATTTTTATCTAACGGTCTAATTTAATCTCTCTTTTTCCTTTTCACAGCGGAAGACACAGAATCCCCTGTTTTCGTTTGCTCATAAGAAGTCTCGGAAAAAATGATTTGCTCTATAACTGAATGTGAATACAACGTGTACATTCTCACTTCTTCGTTTTGCAATTACGCAGTTTTGGAGGAAGTGACAATGCGAAACTGCAATGATACCATTTCGCGCGGATTCCTTTCCGAGGCTATACACATCCATGAGAATTAGAACATGCAGTCAAACTTGAGTAGGAACAGTCTTAGGGCAACAGCGAATATCGTTCGGTTTCAACTCAGAGAATAAAGAGTTTCGATCAAACAGAATCCAGTCCTGCAAGCACGCTTGATAGAATAAAATTCTCCGTGCTGACGAAAGTGTATACTTGTGAAACAAACTTCTGATGAAAATCGGTGATCACCTAAGCATGGACGTGGACGTGGCCAAGTCCAACGTTCGATGATGCTTTTGGTATTCTTCAAAGTGTGTTCGGCATTTAGCTAGCACTTAATTAGAACGGATTCACAAGATAAAATTTGCTTCAACCCAAGCCGGTTGTGTAGGTGGCTAGCTGACCGTCGTGGGATCCTGTGGTGACCTAGAAAAGAAAATAATGTGGATACAATGTAGGATACGGTTCTTTGTTTCAGAAATCATGATTAGTTTATAAAAACAGAGTTTCCATGATCAACAAAAAGTGCGAATAACGAGAAACTAGAGGTCACGATTTGTCTTCCATTCTAAGGTGATGACGTAACCAGCCTATTCCAATAACGTTTACAGTCGATTGGCAACCGAACTTGTTACGCATCCGAACCCAGAATCACGTTCATCGCAAAAGCATACCCTTCCCCTGATTACAGAACACCAATCTTATCTAATCCGGAGTGAATGTGCGGCGTCACTTATGTAGATCAAAATATTGTTACGTGATCATGTATTACAACAATCCAAAATTGGGGCAACGCACGGTTTCCATGGTCAACAACGCCGAATACTGACATGGGCCATGCCTACAGGTGTCTTGAATGTCAGGTTTTTGTTGATGACTAAACGCTGCATCGATGGAGACAGGTCATTCTAATCTACACTAACGATCATGTCACAATGCTCACGATCACTGAAGCGATTGCAATCAATGGGTAGAATCCTTTTTTGTGTCCCCACCTTGGTGACCCTTCCCTCACTTACAGTTATGCTCATCTTGTAATTCTCCAACCCTGCATTATCTTTGGGTTTTTCTGCATTTAATATCGTCCGGGACAATTGTGTAATGTTGTACTGACTTCTCTTAGAATCAGTAAACAACTTTATATGTGAAAACAGCAAAATTTGATTTGATTACGTAGCTTTAGGCTCCCTCGATGTGGACCTCAGGATCATTGTAATCAAGGCTTAGGGACACAGTGTCGTTCGTGCATTTTCTCAGTTTCTTTGCAATCTTAGTCCACCGTTATTCCCCATTTTCTCTTCGACTCTACTTTCAACTTTCCTGTTTTTCTCTTACTGCTTCGTCCGAATGGGCAACCAAGACCGGCTCAGGAAAGTGCATGGTTAATGGCGGTACAAACGGAAACTAAAATAATCACAGCAGCCGTGTGAGTCCCTCGAACCCGGGGCCTCACGGTTAGAACGCAAGCACATCATCCGCTTGACCACAGAGCAGCTGAACATAAATCATAATATCTGATGAGGAAAAAAATCATGTTACACCCGATTGGTAGGGAATTTGATCGATTATAGAGTGAATGTTTCCAGGTTGAAAATTTTCAGTTCGCACTTCATTTGCTCAATGGGTGAGGAAACTCAATGAAAAGTAGGGAAATGCACGCTCAGCTGCACTCGCTGTTTCTTGTTCATTTTTCCGGAGTTGAACAATTCCTCTGACAGGAGCCAAACTGATTTTTAAGTGAAAATGCCGCACTATTCAGATAGGTCTCACCATTACTAAAGGAATGGAAATCCGAACGGGACAGGATTACCATAGAATAAAATAATGACACTGGGTTTGGTTCTTCGGATTTTGTGGGTCTTGTTTGATTGACAATGAAATCGGATAAACATGATCAAAAGCTGTATAAAAAAATACTGTAAGTAGATGGAAACTAACATGATAAGTTGTGTTGATTATTCCAAGAAGTATTTTGGTTGTCATGTGCTTTCGTCAAATGCTGGTGTTTACGTAATCATCAGCTTAGAGTTTCATTATATAACAGTTCTTGTCATTGTAAGTTAATCGGCCTGGTGGTGGTGGTGGGATGAGAGCAAAAGGGTGGAGTTCAGTTGGTGGTTGATCGGTTACCACTTGCTTCAAGATCGAACCAGGCTATTTCACACAGCACACATGCTGTGTTGCGCCTCTAGTTTTCAGTTATCAGAAATAAGTATTATCCTGCGTTGTGCTACGTCCAGTAGCTAACCACACCCACCTATATGCGCGTAACTATCCACCACCAGGCATTGCAACAACCCGATGTGAAGTTCGTTGGTTAAATAATTCTGTGGTGTCTGCTCTGTACATCAAAACTTGAAAAAAACAAGGCCATTTCTGTTTGGACAGTGTTGAATGAAATCTTAGGATTTTTGAATTCCTTCTCACCTCAGGTCTAAGTGGATGCCAAGCAACCACCGTATTTGGGACTGCGGATCTCTTGTCTGATTTCGGT